TGAATGTATAAAAATACATATACAAAAGAATACAAGATGTAGTATTTGTAATATTTGAAGAATAAGATAAATTTCTATTTAAATCTTCCCTTATTTATTTATGAAAATTTGTAATCAGAAACGAATTTTCATTCTACAATTAAAAAAAAAAAATTAACCTTATTTCCAATATAATATTGTTAACGAAACTACTACGAAACACAAATCACGGAAAACATTTCCAATCCAATTGTACAACACGGTTAGTGTACAACTAGAAACGAATTTACATCGAACAATCAACGAACACGTTTCATCGATTGGAATCGAGTGGGTGGAACCGAGTCGATAAACGTATTTACGGGAAAAATAACAAGAATTTTTGTATCTTTTTCACAACGACGTCAAAGAGAAAGATGTAACAAGAAAAAAAAATAAAATAAATAAGAAGAAAAAGAAGAGATGATTCTTTGGAAAGGGATGCAGTGTTAACAGTGTTAACAGTGTTATAGAAATTAAAGTAACAGATTTTTTTTAAATATAAAATTTTTTACTCAGTTAACTGCAAGTATGAAAGTAAGATTATTCTTCTCTTTTAATACGCCTGTTTCATCTACTAAATTCGATGAAGAATCTTTCAAGAAAAGAATCTTATGAAAAAATTATACAAAAGTTGTGTGAAAACTTATAAAAATTGTTTGGCATAAGATGATGTATTATGCAGTATTAGTAGTTTTTCTATAGTTTGATGCATGTAGAAGTCATGTGAAAGTCAACTTTCATTTCTCTAAATGGAATCATGTAATTTTTATTGAATTAATATTGCATATCGAGTAACGTTAAACATCTCTTGGAAACAATTTTTATAAAATCATTTTTCTCGTATAATTCTTTCCTTAACTGGCTTTTCATAAAAATAATTCAGACACTGATATATATTTAATTTCAACTATCTATTAGTTTCTTTAGATGAAGAATTATTACACTTTAAAATAATATTATTTTTTATTTTTCTGAATAATTATATTCACAGCAATGTCTATTCCATCAAAACGAAGTTGAATAGTTATTTCTGATTCATATTATATCTATCTGATATTGAATTATCAGAGAAATAATATTATCCTTTTATTTTTCATTATATTGTTATAGAGATTATCTTTGTTAAATTATCAAGATTCACATAACTAAAGTGACTATCTAACATGGCTATATTCGTGTTAAATTCTATATTACTTCAATTACTGAAAACTAACATTGTTGTGCACTCGGTGTTACGCTTTATATATATTCTCACGAAGCTCTGATAACATCGGTCAATCCTTGGAAACACACCGATCAAGATGTCACGTATTCAAACGCTATTGTAAACAGCAATAACGAAAATCTAAAATTATACTGACTTGCAACTATATCCTGAAAAATTATTTTTATTTATCCATTTTATACAATTAATTAATCGATCGCGAAGAAATATACAAGCTCTATCATCTCGAATAAAAATATCCTTATTTAAACAGAATTATTCAATTACGAAAAAATTCATTTATTCGTTAATAATTATTATTTATCATTCAAATAACCCTACTTACGATATTTACATACGATTCTCAATTAATCTAATCGATTCATAATTGCCAATATAACCAACGACTCAGTGTTGCTCAGTGTTGCCAATTGTCCCTTAGCATGGAGTGGTTAACGATAATTTCTCCGCTCGAATGTTCGGGGGTCTCGTTCGCAACAATGCGAATGTCGCGTTACATTGTCGCAGCAGGCGTATCGATCCAATGTCCAATGGAAGGCCCAACGAGGCATCGAAGGCTAACTGTCGCGTGTCCTGTCGCGTGGACATCGACAATAAAAGAAAAGAGAGAACGTTTAACCGTTTTGCCGCATGAAACTTTTTTTTGAAAAGCATCTTTAAAAAGGGAACTAGAGTCGAACTGTTTCTAAACAATCAGCTTTACGTGATAGACTCCAAGTGGCTAGGCTGTTAATTGACGGTTTATAGAGGGAAGGGTTGTGTTTTAAAACTTTTTTTTCTCTCTCTCTCTCCTAAATCCTCTTGTACATTGTAATTTATTGGTTTTTTTTTTTTGTTAATTAATTGGAAAAGTGTAGATTAAGTAAGCACGTGTAGGTATATATATATGTGTGTAATGTATAATTTATATAAGAATGTAAGGATAATAATAAAGATGTAAATATAGGAATTAGGTTATATAAATTATATTACATCGCGAAATGAAGCTTGAAAATTTGTTTCAAACTTTTATTATTTCGTATCTCGTGACTTTATTAACTGTTTTATTAAGTAATAATATTGGAAAAGTGACAAATGATAAATTGTGGGATTATTGATTTTTGTTGGAGAAATAGTTTTAAGCTGGTATGTAATTTGTGAAATTCGTTATAGAATAACCTAGATCACTTTATTAACAAATTATTTTGTCGTTATACCAGAGAATATCAATAATAACAATTCGATAACTTTTGTAATTCGTAACATGGAAAATTTTCCTAATAATAATTCGATCGTGCAAAAGGATTAATTCGTGATGTTTACACGCGGCTTGATATACGAAATTTTGTTTATTAATTAATGAAGAATAAATTAGGTTATTCGTTCAACAGACATTTTCTAATCGATTTAAAAAGAGTTGTTGATTGTTCTTCGATGTAAGAAATAATAATATTCTTTTAATAAAAATTACATTATCTTAGCTGTTGTTTCCTGAATATTTTCAATACGAAGATTCTCATCGAAGATCGGGGAGGATAATTGTTGGAAGTAATATTCATATAAGATATCGAGTCGTTTTCGTTGACAGCATGGACTAGGTAAATCTTCAATAACAATAAATATATTAATATCTGTTCACCAATAATTCTTTCCCCTTCTTCTCCCACTCGTCACATTTCTCAATAACGAACGAACTTTTTTTTTTTTTTATAGGCATTAAGATCCTCATTATAGGATAATCATCATACGGAAAGAAAAATTTAATAAAGGTTAGAAATTTTGTTATCCATCCAAACAAACCTTGCAGAGAAATATCTATTAAAAAAAAATTAACCCAAGATAAGACATTCGTTGATCATCAAAAGTGATTTAAAACTTCGAAACCGACCGAGCAGAGCAAAGTTAACGAGAAAAAAGAAAAAACATAAAAATTATAAACAAATACATAAAAAAATCCAATACTCGAAAATTTCAACCAACAACAAGATATGAATCCACGTGTTACCAAAGGGGGCCCTGTCCACCCTTGTATGCAACAGATATCCCATGCCGCACAATAGCGCCTCACCCACCCTCCTCCTTCATTTTCGTCGTTTTCTCGTTAACAATCGCACACGCTAGGACCAGCTGACGCGTGCCAGCAACAGGAAATGAAACGGGCGCACCGGTTCCGTGTGATTCACGAATTCAAATATTCATGGCGGGGGTGCCACGGGGCGTTGCGAGCCGGCTGGCACCGATACAGGGAGGGAAGGAAAAAAAAAAAAAGGGGGGAGAAAGAAAGGGAAGGAACGGTTGCGTTATCGCCGTGCCCTTTAATTTTCCTCGTCGTTCCACCCGAGAAAATCCTTCACGGGGATAATTAAAGGCTGTCATTTCGCGGCTCATATATATATATATATATATATTGTATATAACACCGTCGATCGAGGATACGCAAAACCTCGTGGCGTTTAATTTTGGAGAATCGTTTTGGATAATCGTTCGAGGAGATCGAGGGAAACGCGAATTTTCTCGTGAATGGAAAACTCGTAAGGGGGAGAGGAATTCTAGCCTTTCGAATTTTAGGAAGCTGATTTTATGATTTTCGACTGATATTTATGTATTTTTATCTTTGGAATGTTTTTCGAATCGGTGATTTAATTTGACCGGAAAGGAGTTCGTTGAACCCATCATCCCCCTCCCCGGGTGGCGAATACGAGTTTCGATCGCATGAATTTCGAGACGCGAAACCTTCAATTTGCATTATTCATTACCAGGCCCTAATCAGCTCCGAATCCCCCATTAAGTTTGATTGAGCGTGTATCCCTCGTTACTTAATATTCCGTGTTAATTCTAGCCCCGACAGTGACTGAGCCAATTCGTTAACTGTACCAACACGCCGAAATTGATAATTTCGATCGATAATCCGCCATAGATAATTTGGGATTACGATAATCCTCTTTGATCCACGAAACGTGGGAAATGTTTATAAAATTCCTCCTTTTCATATCGATCTTGAGCAATCCTGAATAGGACGATAATTTTAATAAATAATTTTTTTTAAATTAAACGTCTAATTTGACTACAAAATTAGAATATATTTAATAGGAATTAGGAAAACGATTTCGAGAAACAGTAAATAAAAATATTGTGATAAACAGAACAGAGCTTGTCTGAAGATAAGAATAATTGGCTACATCGACGTTTCGCCAAACTTAATATCAAATTGCTTATATTGAATTCTATTTAACGATCATCAGTAAAATAATCAATTCTAAAGATCACAAATATATATAACAAAGTAAAATGAATAACATTTGCTGTTTTAATATTTTCAAATTTTTAACATATCTTAAATGTTAACTTTAAATATCGTTAATGCAAAATTTGTCCTCCGATAAAATCAATATTAAAATGATATCTGTTCAAAGTTGATGAAATTCTACAACGTAATATATATTTACAGAACAAGATGACGCTAAATTAGAGGCAGAAGAATTTCAAAACTATTTAATTTTCTTTATTTCTTCAATTATAAACCTTTTAAAGAAAAACTTTAACATCAATTTATCTCCATTTATGCGCAATCTTATTCCTTTTTATTTCATTACTCGCTCTCCTTTACATTTATTTTTAATATATATATATATATATATATATATATATATACAAAAGAGTAATGAAATAAAAAGGAACGTATATATATATATATCGTTAAATAGAATTCAATATAAACAATTAGTTACAACTAATTTCGATACCAGAGTTTCTGCAAAAATCAAACGATGTGCAGGTTACACGCACGAGTCGTGGATCAACCACGAGGAGCCGCCGAAGTACGCGACGCTACGTTCGGCCGCGGAGCTGGCCCGACCCGTGGTACCGTCCCCTCCGCCCCCGGCCGCCCCCCAGGAGCTGGCTGCAGTGGTGACCGGGTCCGGCCTGCACCAACCGCACCCAGCCCCAACGACGACCCCGTCGGCCACGTCGCTGAGCCTGCCCCCGAGGAAGAGCCTCTCGATGTGTTTCACCAGCACGGGGACGGCGCTCTCGTTGCCCCCCAAGAAGAAGGACATATACCGGCCCTACAGCCTTCAGCCGACGTCGGAGATCCGCACGTCGGCCGAGGAGGACCTGTCCGCCGCGCAGGCGATCCTCGACCTGAGCGCGTCACCGGCTGCGCCCACCCACTCTGTCTTCATTCACACTTTGTCGCCGCCGCCGCCGCCCCCGCCCCCGCAGGCAGCGCCAGGCGTCACGCCGAACGGCCAGCTGCAACCTGCACAGCTACAGCCGCCGCCGACCGCTCAGCCCATCCCCGTGTCCGTGCTTGTACCGGTGCCCAGCTCGCAGACCAACCAGCTGCGCCAACAGGAGCAAACGCCCCAACCCCAATCACCGGCCACCGCGGAGACGAATGCGAACAACTGCACTGGCGGGAGAGATGGGTGAGCAATTTTGCTTTTTCAATCAATATGGATCGAATGAGCGTCTATATTGGCGTTTAACACTTTGCTCTCTGACGCCATTGATGTGGCAACTTGAACGGCGACGATATTTATTTACGTTCGATTTTTTTAGAATATCGCTTTATAAGTAGATTCCTAAGCTCTTTACGTGTAATCTTATATCTTACGAGGCCACCGAACGCGCAGGTCTGAGTCTGGAGTTGCTGGTTCGAAACAGGCCTCGAACAAATTTTAAATGAATATTTCAAAGAGTTTCTCTTTCGAAAGGAAATTAAATTATTCGTCGTAATTCATAAATTAATAAATGTGTCCACAAGTGTTAGATTAAGTTTCTTCTGTTCTTTTTCAATGATAATCAAGTGCACGATACGACAGAAATATGGGCAATCGAAAAGGAGCTTAGGAAATTTAGAACTCATCGAATATGAAGAAAAAGCCTGAATTTTCGAGACGATTCCACTCACGAGTGATTTATTATATTTTGCCCACAGAACCAGCAGTGGCGGAAGCAAGACGGTGGCCTACACGTACGAGGCGTTCTTCGTGTCGGACGGCCGGTCGAAGCGTCGAAGCGCGAACACGAACGGGGCGGCGGTGCCCGACAAGGAGGCAGCCCAGCCGGACAGGCCGAAGTTCACGTGCACGGAGTGCGGGAAGCAATACGCGACCTCGTCGAATCTGTCCCGGCACAAGCAGACGCACCGAAGCCTCGATTCCCAATCGGCGAAGAAGTGCATCCACTGCGGCAAGGCGTACGTCAGCATGCCGGCGTTGGCGATGCACGTGCTCACCCACAAGCTTGCCCACAGCTGCGGCGTCTGCGGCAAGATGTTCTCCAGGCCTTGGCTGCTCCAAGGCCACCTGAGAAGTCACACGGGTGAGAAGCCTTACGGGTGCGCGCACTGCGGCAAGGCGTTCGCAGACCGGTCGAATCTCCGCGCCCACATGCAGACCCATTCCGCGGACAAGAACTACGAGTGCTCGAGATGCCACAAGACGTTCGCCCTCAAGTCTTATCTGAACAAGCACCTCGAGTCCGCCTGTCTACGCGATGACGAGATACCGCCACCATCGCAGCAGCAGCAGCAGCAGCAACAGCAACAGCAGCAACAAACGGGAGCTACGAACGGTAATAATAATAACAACGCGACGACGCAACACCAGCAGAGCAACAATCGTAGTTTGTAGCAGCGCTTCGACGACAGGAAGGCTACGAGCAGGCGTCTCGACGCCATGGCAAGGGAGAGCTAGCGGTTGTTCCCGGCGACACCCGGTTAAAACCGGGGTATACACGAACGAGATCGTCGATGGGGATGAAGGGAAGAGGAAATGAAGAGAGAGGGGAAAAAAGAAAATAAAAGGTTTGCCGTAGGTTTTAAGTAGAAAAGTGCCAGTAGAGAAAAATGGAGGATAATAGAGAGAAGTAACCGAATGGTAGTGTTGTAGAAGGGAAGTAAGAGAGAGAGAGAGAGAGAGAGAGAGAGAAAGGGAGAGAGAGAAAGAGAGAGAGAGAGTGGAAGATGTCGGTTTCTTAAATAATGTCTAACATTGATAAAAACGTCCAATAATGTTAAGTCTTAAAAAAAAAAAAAAAAAAACGAGCAGAAAGAGAGAGAGAGAAAGAAAGAGAGAGAAAAAAGAACAAAAAAAGAGAAGAAACGAAACGACGAAGGAAAATAAGAGGGAACGATAAACGAGAAAGGAAAAGAATATAAGAAAGAGAGAGAGAAAAGAAAAAAAAAACGAGAACAAAGAACACGTCGAACGGTGACGTCCACACTGCAGTCTAGTCACTCTAGTCGATTATACTTAATACATTATGATATTATATTATTATATATTATATATTATATTATATTATATTATTATATATATAGTATATATTTACTATAGCGCGTACGGTTCTAGTCGCGAGCTCGTTACGGAGACACACTATTTATTGATACTTAGCTGCCTAAATGAGATAAAGAAAAATGAAATTCTTCGAGGATTAAAAAATACAATAATACACGTATATATATATATATATATACAAATTTAATATATATATATACAAATCATGGGGGATACCCATACACACACACACACACGTACACATACACACATCATTGATTGATGATCAAGGACGATAAATTTCGACGCGATAACGAGATTTCCGGCCGGTTTTCGATTCTTCTTCTATCTTCACCCCCCCGCGAAATCATGTAATCGGCGTCCTGACGTCGATCAAGCAACTTTTTCAGAATGTATATCCAAAGTATAAGATTCGTTGTCCATTGAAACGCACAGTCGTGACCGGACGACTTCTTCGATCGACCCCCCCTCCATGTTCCTTTTTCGATGGCTCCTTCGACTCGGTTGGACCATCATTACACACTCGATCAATAGAGGTGTCGATCCTCGAACGGACGATCGATACTCTCGATGGAAGCGGCGGTACATGCCTGTACGTTTCATTCGACGATGAGGAAACGTGTGATCCGTTCGTGTAACGTATTCTAATTTTGATTAATCGAATTCTTGGCGGTCGTTCGATGGCCATTTTTTAATGATGGTGGTGGGCGAGGATACATTATATTAAATTGATTTATCTTTTAGGGAAACTTTTAGTCGTTAGATCATATTTTTATTTGGAAATAATTTGAAGATATTATGATACAGTTTAAGATATGAGATTAGAATTTTAAACGAGTAAATACGTGTTCTCTGAAAAAATTCTGCAACAATATTAAATTCAAAAGTGAATAAACGACGATGGATATCACATCGTTGAGTATATTTTGCACATTTGCGAGAAAGTCTTTCATTTACATTTCATAAAAAAGTTCAAATATCATATCCGTGAGAAATAAATAATTAATAATCCAATAGATCTCTAGATTACGTGTCCTCGTCCGCCATCATTATTTCATCAACTCGACACATTTTATGTCGTGTAAAATTTTTTCACTCTGGTGAATGGTGATATTCTCACCTTTTCAAATATTTAATCCCATCAAATTGCCTCGTTATTTTTACCTCGCACGGGAGAGCGCAAACGTTCTCATAAATGATAAAGAAAAAAGAGGGAAAAAAAAAAAGAAAAAAAGAAAAAAAGTCATCGACAGTCATGCGTGGCATAAAACGTGTTAACGACACGTGGACATCGATCGAATCGCCTCGAGGCCGTCGCAATATTTTCTCAGCCATCGTTACACGATCGGTTATACATATGTATATGCAAGCATCGAACATCGAAAGAAGATAAAATTTTCATCGCGTTCACACGCGTATACACGTACACCCTCGATCGAAAGTTTCAGAACATTTGGCTCGAAAATTTGGAAGAAAATTAAGTAACTTTTGAAGAAAAAAGAAACAATTTAAAATTTACAACAAAAGATTCGCGTGTTTCTATTGAAAAATGTTTCAAAGACTTTTGAACGAGAGCTACATACACACGAGTATATACACAAGAATACGTAGAGGAGAGACAAATACGTCATACAACACAAACACGACAAGAAACGCGTTACACGTAATATTTAGAGCAGATTCGAGTAATAGATGCGTAACATTGTTATACACATATTTTATAGAAGCAATATAACGAGTAAGAAAAAAAAAAAAAAAAGTAATAATGACGACGCGTACGGTCAAAAGCAATGTTTCGACACAACGAATTATATAATTATACATATAGAGGCGAACATCGAAGTTTAACGTGATGGAATAACGATGATTTGCTTCGGCATAAAATTTTTTCGATCGTCTCACCTTTACCACGCTCTTCCGTCTTTCGCGATATTCGTTCAAATATTGGCGCCAAAAATTCTGACCGGATTTCGCAATTCGAAAAAATTCATTGTTCCTCCCTTATTTAAAATAGAAGCAATATTTTTTCTATCAAGGGACAACATGTTTTAGAATTGTATTTAACGCGAGAAAGATATTAAGTTCTCTGAATATTTGTCGATTTCTTGAAACAAACGAAACGGCTATAAAATTTTTAATTTTTACAATAAAATAATCTGCATATCATTTGCATAAATGGTAAAATGGCAATGAATCATTTCGTTTATCAGAAATAAATGTTACAACTTATTAGAATAATAAATATCAAAATTAATGAATATTTGTATAAAATAAAATTAGAAAAATTGCAAATCGTTTGCATAATATTGTACGATAAACAGTAATAATGTTAAAAATGCCAAAAATTTTTCACACATGAGTTTCTTAACTAAAAAAAAAAAAAAAAAAAAAAATCGACGCAAATTTTCTAGACAATTCGACAAATCGAATATTGAATAGTGGCTTCGTGGTTTGCCTTTATTAGCTTCTAATATTTTTCAAACGAATACATCGTGTAATTTAAGCTTCGTGCAACGAGTGGAACACCAATTCTAGTCTTAAAATCTTCTTTCTTAAATATTGTATATTTTATATAACGAACAACGATCTCTTTGCTCCGAAAGATAAGAATATAGAATTAGTATTATAAATCGTATAAAATTTTGATTCTATAAGCAACGCAACGACGACGATTATACATCGAAATTCGTAAATATTTTATCGTAAATTTAAATTCTTTCGAAAAAAAAAAAAAAAAAAGAAAGAGATATTTCGAGACAACGAAAAGGGAGTAACAACGAAATCCGGTTGAAAAAAAAAAAAATTCTCCGCCTCATTCGACCAACTTTTCCTTCAAAAGCAACGATTACAACGCGCCGAATTATTGTCGAGAGAATAACGAGAGAAAAAAAAACACGAAAGAAACAAATAGAAAAGCACGGTTTGGAAGAAAAAGGAATGGGAATACACGCGAAACAGGATCGCGAGAGAACAAAAAAAAAANAAAAAAAAAGAGAGAAGAGCGTGGATCATTGCCAACTCGGGAAGAGTTGGCGCGACGATCCAACGAGTCCTTTTATAATAATTATTGCCGACAAATAATTACCGCGTTGCATGTACAGAGTAGCCGACCTCACCGCCAAAACAGTTTAAAAAAAAAAAAAGAAGCAAAAATGGTAAAAAAAAAAAATTAATAATAATCGCAAGAAAAAAAAAACGAGAGAAACGAAGCAGCACCGGAGACACAGAGAAACGCATATACACACATACACACATGTACACGTATACATACATTCATATCTTGTACTATACTCATTTTTCATTTCGCATAGCAGCTTGAAAGGTCGACGTTGAACTCATTCTCGAAGAGATTTTTCCTCCGGGAGAATCATTCCTCCAAATGGATCCAACGCGATCGAGCCACGCGTGAAATCGATCGATCCCAAAGGCTTTTCCCTGCCCCCCCCCCCTCTCCCCCATTATCACAAACGACGACGGTTTATTTCGCGAATAATTCCATAAAAATTCTGTGTACCGCGTGCAATGATCGCGTACGTACGAACGTAGAGCAATAAAACCCTAAGCAATATTAATCAATTAACGAATTAACGAGTTAATTAACGAGAAACGAGTTAAAATGAAATTAGTAAGTCGGTTCGGGCGTAGAGAGCAGAAACATTTTTAAAGAAGAGAATAAGATAAGTAAGAACAAAAAGAACAAAAAAAAAAAAATTATGAATTAACAAAGTGCACCGTTTGACGCGTGTTTGTTGATTTGATCGATCGAAAAAAAAAAAAAAAAAAGAAAGAAAGGAAGAAAAAGATGGTATGCGTGAGAATAAATAAAAAAAATATACATATATATAAAATACAAATTAAAAAAAAGGGGGGGAGGGGAAAGAGCGCGATTCGAACAAATAAGTTGATCCGCTTCTTTCCCATTCCTCCATTTTGCTTTCGATCAGAGAATCTTTGACCACCGGCACTAATCGTCTCTCGGTTTTTAGCCACCGATTTTCATTGTTCTTTCTTGATTACGTATAGTATATTTATTTTTTGCGAATTGTTATCAGTATTATTATTATTATTATTATTATTATTATTATTATTATTATTATTATTATTATTATCGTTTGCAGCATTATCGTATTTATTATTGTCATCGGTATTTATTATATTTATTATTATTATTATTATCATTATTATTATTATTAATATCGTGTACTTTATTTATCCTTATATTAATTCATCTTGCGTTCCTCTTGTTATTGTTATGCATGATTGATACGGTAACAGCCATTATCACTGGTGATAATACTGTTACTAATAATATTTCATTCTATCATCATCATTTTTCTATTATAATTATCCTTTTTTTCCTTTTATATATATATATATATATATGTATGTATATATACATATACATAGGATGGTTCCTCGTATCAAGAAACAGCTTTGATAGATGATTTTGAACATGAAAACAATAAAAAAAAAAAACTCTATAAATGCATATGACTTATTTGATCTTGTTCTCGAGTAACAGTGAATTTTATGTTGAAATAATTCTATCGAAAGATTCCATTTCGCGAAAAAATTGAAAGATTTCCAAAATAACAAATAATAATTGGAAAGGAAAATTGGACAATCAATGATGAAACGTTTTCAAATTTGTGTTTGGATATATAATTTTTGGAACATCTCTTATGAAGATAAAATGTATTAAAAAAGAAATTCGTCAAATTTAAAAAAAATATTGATGTATGTTTACATTATTCTTTTTTTATTCCTTTTTATTTTAAATTCATCCATCGAAGCGAAACTTTATATATATATATATATATATATATATGTATATATATATATGTTGCTGATTGCTGATACAACGATTCGATACAACGATCAGTATCGTTAAATAGCGCAACGAAAAGAAATTTGTTCAAAGAAGGGAAAACGAGGTACATGCTATTTCCATTTCTTTTTTTTCTCCTTAAGTATTTTCTCGCGTCC